GGTTAGCAGTTCCTGCAAGTAAGCCAAAGTACTCTGGGTGTGGGCATGCTTGAAGAACTCCACCTGCTCTCAGTTACACGGAGGTACTCAAGTCATGCCAGTAGGCTTCAAAAGAGTGGCTTGGGGAATGATGGCTTCCGACAACATGGATTGTGACTGTCAATTTAGCTTGAATGCTCTAAATTACGACTTAGTACCCCCTACAAGAAAACAAGTATTCATAATATTTTAATCTCCTCTGGACCACCTCACAGTGTGTTTGTTCAAGCCTTACATTTCTGACATGGGAAAATCTAATGCTTACTGCTTTTCTGCCTACAGGTGCTTGTGTTCTGAACGATTGATGCTGTATTGGAAACATTACAGAAATGCAGAGGATGCATCACAGCATACCTTGTCATTGACTAATGATACAACACTCAAGGAATTGTCCTCCTGCAAAATTGTTTCACACTGCATTTTACAAATGTTGCATTTACAAATAATAACAAATTCAATTCATGAAGTCAGAATGCTCTCACAGTTGTGCACGGTGTCACTGATAGGACGCGACAGAAAGTATGTATATAATTTAATTGCATGGCATTTATTTCTTAAACCAGCAGAAGTTCATTATCCTAGCGAGGACTGTTAGGTTTTTCAGATTTAAAATAAAACCTCCAGAGATGCCAACAGCAGTCCATGGAAAGCAGACAGTTTGCTTTGCACATTTCTTTCAAGAGGGTGTTTGTTTGGTAGAGGAAGGGACAATTTAACAGTTATGGGACAAACCTAGAATTTATTTCAAGTGCTGTTTGGGAGATGTGTACTAACTTAACTAGGAGTTAGTCTGAATAAGAACTGTGTCAATACCTTAATATTTGTCCTGAAGTATTTAGTAGTCTTTCTCATATCTCTGCACTATATTTAGATATGTTTTCACTGTATGGCAGATCCTGAAGTGTGGTGAGACTTCTGGTTTCCTTCTCTAAGCTGGTGAATACATTTCACTTTTCCCTATGCATAACATAGGATAGCATCCAAATATGAAGTCATCTACTTCCTAGGCCATCTGCACCATATGCCTTATTTTAGTCCCTTCATGTGTGCACAGGACATAATCTGACATCTAACTCTAAAAGTTAAAGTATTTCTCACTCTGGTAAAATGTAAACATCCTCTCCACTTCATTTCAGAGTAAACCAGGTTATCTGAACTTTTGTTTCAGGCTTTTCCATGTTTTTTCTTTTTTCCAGATTATAAAATATAGCTGAAAAGAGCTGTTTGCTGAAATCTCAATGCTCAAGTTTGTAGCTGTTTTCTAAACCTTACATGCTCCTTCTTGGACTTTGGTCCATGTCAGCTAAATTCCTTGGATTGCTATTTTGGGTATAAATCATCCTTACCATTGCAAAAGAAGATACATCGAGAAGGGGATTACGCAGGACAAAGATAAAAAGTATTCTTTACAAACACCCTGTGTCAGGCAGGGAGTGAGGCTTGAGAAAGGAATTAAGTGTTGAATTCTTAATCTTGTATGAGGCACAAAGCGTCTGGCCATCAGCTAGGGGAAAATAGAGTCAGCTTCTTAGTCAGCTACAGGAAAGGTGCTGGGAATTCAGTAAGTCTTTGAAGCTAAAGCTATTGTGAGCATTGGGACTTTGGGGCAATTGCCGCATTTCAGGCCATGGTGGGAGATGAGGCTCCCACTCAAGAGGGCAGGTAGGATGCCTGGGATGGCGCAATGCTCAACCACAGCAGGGGCCTTTCTCATTTTTCTCTGTGCTTACAGCTCTGCTCTGAGACCGGCACCGGCCCAGCCACAGAAAGTTTGCAAGAAACTTTGCTTCTCTTTACATCTCCAATATAAGCTAATGCTGCTGAGAGCAGCTGCACAAACCAGTGAATAGCATCAAGAGGTGCCCCTGTCTTTCCCATCAAGCAGAGCACTCTTTAGCTGACTTGGGTGATCATTGCTCCTTCGGTGGGTGAGTTATGTCCTTATGTGTGAGGTGAAGCACTGCAGATGCTCTCCAGACCAAGCTCTTTAAAGCTGCAGAAAGAAATAAGGGCTCTAAGTCCCCATGTGGTCATCTTGGGGTTTTGCCCCTGCTTTTCCTCTGGTCCTACTGCTCTTTTTCTGTGTTGAAGCTTGGAGGTGAAGGCTCGGAGAGCTGAATTGAGTGGGTGCATGTAGACTGGCTGCTAGAGACAAGATTTTCTGTCCATGCTAGAAGTGAGTCTGCAAATGCAGTCCCAGACAAGTCCAGACCCTGTCTTCTGGAGTGTACTGCCACCACCTCTCCTGAGCCTACCCCAGGGTTTAGTGAACAGTTATCTTCCTGCACTGAGCTTATCCAGTCTGCAGATAATCTGCTTGAAAGGTAGCCATATGTATGGGGCATGGGCAGATTATGGAAGTGATGACCTGATCACTCATACAGACTTCAAAAGCAGCATGGACAGAGTCATTGCATGATGTATTTTGAGAGGCTGAGATCAGAGGAATCCAGTGCTAACACAGCAGCTTTGAAAAGATACTGCTGGACCATAAATGTATTGAACATTTCTCAAGTATTTGGGCTTCCAAGTAAAGAGGGGGTTTAAAGCCTACAGACTGTGTGCAGAAATGCTCTTTATCTGAAGGGCGATGTAAAAGCAAAGCAGGACAGAGATGTCTGTGGTGGTGTTGCTTGGAACTGGGAGGTGGAGGCTTCGGTCCTGTTTTTGGCTTCCGCCTTACTGTGTGGATTACGTGGGAGAAAGAACAGCCTTTCTGTTTCTCTGCTCCATCCATCACAGAGCACTCTATGACCTCTTGTGGCTCAAAAAGCACTGTTTGAAATCCATAAATTGGCAGGTCCTGTTTAAAATATGATGCTATATGAAAGGCTAAATACCACAATTTGTTTTCATGGACGATATTGGATAGCTTCACTCATTGTGCATAGCACAGAGGTGAACAGTTGTGAAGTGAGGATATACTGCAGGATACATTGCACTAGGTTTACCCTGTGATGCCTGTTTGCAAATCCGTTCAGATAGAAAATGAATCAACATGATCTACTGGAATGTCTGAGGCAAATCTCTTTAATTATTGCCTGTGGGTCATTAACTTCAGCAAGAGTGACTGCCCAAGCACGGGTAAGATGTGGGCAGCCACAGTGTGAAGGCACTTGAGAAAGAGTTTCTGTTCTGCTTGTTTAGGAGAAAGGACAGGACCCTCACAGTGACATGTTGAGGTAGGCCTAGGGAAAGCATCACCACCTTTGCTTCGAATTAGTAAATGAATTGTATTCAACACTTGCTCATCACTCTAGTGGAAGCACGTAACATAGCAGCATATAGTGCGTGTAGGATTGGGTACTATGAGCACGTAAATAACTGTGCTGACAGGACATAGCACACCATGTGGGCTAAAAATCACTGTTAAGCAGCATGGTGCATTACACTCCAGGAAATTCCTGTGTCTAGGATCAGAGCAAGCTGTTAAATAGCCACAGATGCTGTATTCCTTTTCCTGACTTGCTGATGAGTTGCCACACCAGGTCAGGAAGGCATGGCTACAGCTAGCAGCTAACAGATGGAGCCTGTTTCTCTGGCCTTCCATTGCACTGGTATTTCCTGCAAGCTGAAAGCATCCGAGCTGAATGCCAGCTTGGGGCACACAGTGAAGCTCTTGTAACACACCTCCCTTTCAGGTGGAGCACCAACTCGTAAAGAAAGAGATCCTTCTCTTGGCAATTGGCTATGATATTTTTCCTGGATTTGGTGCTGTTGTGAGGGTATGTGAATGTCTGCTCCCACATAGCTTTTCACTTGCACAAAAGCAACAGCAAATGGGAAACGTATTCTGAAATAACAAAGACTTAATGCTAATAGCAAACTGTATTTTGCATGTCATTAGAGCTCACTGATATAATCAAGCTGGTTTTATTCTATAGATGTAGGCTTTGCCTTGTAATAGGATGAATAAATTTCCTGTTAATGAAGAACACAGAAAGTACTGTTGTGGTTAAGCATACACTTCTTGCCAGAGCCCAGAGCAATGAATGTAACCTCATAATTACAGCTTTGGGAGAGGTAAAGTTTTGAAGAATATGTAGTATGCAAGCTACAGTTAAATAGCATAAATTGACAGGGCTGGAGAGATAGTTCAATTCTAACCAAAATCAGTCCACATACTACTAGTGGCTACCATATTCTGCTCTCATTTACACTGCTGGAAACCTCAAAATTAACATCAGGATTTACGCTGGGAACATGGTCCTTTTTTTGTTTGTTTGTTTTTTTCTTTTTTTTTTTTCCAAATAAATGTGGATAATGTGACTTAAGATGAATATATGTAAGAACCAGTGATAGATTGTGGTCTCTTCTTTTGGGCAGGGGCAGATGTAATTCTGCAGTAGAAAAAGACAGCTAGCATCTGCACTGGCCAGCCAGATGAGCCAATAATCTCTGCTCAAACCAGCTTTTAGGGTGAATAGTTAGAAATCAGAGGGTCTGGTCAGGTCCTATGGGGATAGCAGTTCACACATACTCATGAGAAAGACACATTCCCAATTCTGGCCAAAAGGAAGGCCTCTTCCTCAGGCACACTAAAAGAGACCAATGTTGCTATACCTGGCTGTTTGATGGGAGCCTTTTTGCCATTGTAAACTTCACATGAACCATTAAGGTAACAAAAGCTTATATTAAGGGAAATGTGCTGCCCCTTGGGCCTCTGCAGGGGGTGAGAAAGAAAACAGCACATGCTTCTGTGCAACGGAAAATCTTTATTGGAATGATACCCAAAGGACCCAGGCTTCTGTGTCTGTCGTCCCCCAGACCTACTGTGCATGCTGACAGGACACGATAAGGAACAGCTCTGACTCAGCAAGCTGAGGCAGGCAGCCCTGAGCCCTTTACTTGCACCCAGTCTGCCTTCCTGTCCCAACAGTGTGGATTAGGTCATCACAGACCTGCTCGTAGGAAGTGATAGGAAACGGAGACATCACTGTGAAGGTCCAAGCTCAGGGGAACTGAGTTAGTGTTTGGTGCCTCAGGGGATCTGGTGAGAAGGGGAAGAGTGTACAGTGGCAGCAGACTGAATGGCACACACAGGACAGTAAGGAAAGTTGGTGAGCATCTTCCAAGTAGAAGATGACAGTGGGATAAACCTAGAAGGAAGGAAGGAAGGAACAGTGGAGAGTGGTAGTGGGTTACCAGCTCCTGTCACAGTCACTGTTAGAGTTGGCTGTGATATAGTCATGGAGGATGGCATCCAACTTAGCAGCATGATGGCAGAACAGAACAAACTCTCAACACATTAATAACCAGCAAGGCATTTGGGGAAGGGCTCATGTTCATCCTTCAGTCCTGGCAAGCCTTCAGATGCAGTATTTCCAAAAGCAGGCTGGGAAGGGATACAAGAGAAGAATGTTAGTACCCAAGAAACTTTTCCAGCTTCCTGTTCTAGCCCCATGTCTTGAAAGAGTTGTGGTTTCTGGGCACATCTCAATAATCAGCTTTGACTTCATATAAAACTTTTAGAAGGTGTTTCTTTTAGCTGCTTATAGTGTAAATAAGGGGTCTAAAAGTTGTTCCCATGTTGCTTGATTTATATGGGCTTGTTTTTGATTTTGCTGTACTCCAGCACTATCAGGAATAAGTTTTTTATTTCCTGTCTATTGGCCTGCAGTTTTGCTTTCTTGGGACAAAGCTTCTACTGAATCAGCAGTGCTCATGCTGAGACACGAGCTTCTCCCAGACTGGAAGGACTTTAGATGAAGGCAAGGATTCTCTGGCAGAATCTGATTTAACCCTGGCAGGGCAAAGCAGTTTTATCTGCATTTGAACTTTCCAGACTGGTGGGGGCATGAATTAGATTAGCCAAACTAAAGACAGCCTCCAGGATTGCCTATAAATTGCAGATTGTCTCAGGATCACCTAAGCACTTAAGCAAGCCTCGCACAAAAGGATTTTCTCTTGGCTGGCTAGGTTGTCAGTTCGCACGTTCACAGAGCATGTGGGGTAAGGGTAGAACTAGCTCTTTTGGTTTTAGGCCAGATCTGTCATCAGTGACTTCTGGTTTACAGCTGCCACTGCTTTGGGAAGGAATCCACTGAAAGCCAGCATGAACAGCATTGTCCATGTGCTTGTCAGGGGTGGTCTTGCAGGAGCACTGTTGCTATGTGCTCTTGGGTCACTGAATACAGACTGGACAAAGCTTGGAGATCAACTGGAGGACCTACCAGATCTTAGTTCCCTGCATTCTTGGTTGATTTCCACATCCTTTATTGCTGCTTTTCAACAGCAAAAACAAGTGTTCCTTTTTTCTCTGGAGGGAGGCAGTGACCTTGGCAGAGGGGAATGCATGCCACATTCATCATTATGCCTTCAGCTCTAACTTTGTGCCCAGAGCAAAGCAACGGGTGCACTTAGGGGATGTGTTCACACAGAACTCACCCCCTCCAGGACAAACACTCATTGCTCATATAACCCCATGTTCCTCTGTGAAAAGCAGGATGCAATATTGACTGCCTTCAGTAAGGTCCTGGGTCTGCAGACATGGTGTATCTGCCCTGACAGCAGACAGGGTTGGGTACACAGTTCTCTACTTCTCTCAAGGGCTGCTAAACCAGCCAGCCATTAACAAGAGAGGACTAGGACTGCCAGAAAAGCTGCCAACCTGTTTTTCAGCTTATTTGGGTCATGTTTACTGTCACTGTCTTTGTTGCAGAAAGGAAGCCCTGAAGATGAGAGCTGGATGGGATGGCTGCAGGGCTCTAACCCAAAACCTACCGCGTTTTTTGGGCTGGGATGCTGAAAGACTTTCCAAGGCATAGGCCACTTCTGACCCTTCCTCACTTGAGAGCTGATCCTTCAACTTCTCCAGCTGTTTAAACACAAACATTCAATGTTTAATTAAAAAAAAAAATAATAAAAAATTAGAAGATGTTCCAATGTTTACAAAAGTAAGCAAATGCCCCATCATGAGGAGCTTCACAGCATGCTGGCAAGCACAAGGCAGCTCAGAGGCAGGAGGTACAGGCAGCCTGGATGTTGGCATCACTGGGGAGGACAGGGTCTTCCCTCGAGCAAGACCATTGTAGGAGGATCTACCTTTGGAGCATTCCCACCTCCTCATGTCCTTCTCCATTAAGCTGCTTGTTTGGTGGCAGCAGTGTAGACACTCTCTGTTCTTCCCCCCATGCCAGGGTGCAAAGCCTTGTGGTGAGAAGGCTGTGTAGAATGGATAATGCACCACTAATTGCCAAGTCACTGCTGGGGAAGGAGGTCTCCAGGCATCCACCCACTGCAGCAGAGTGCATTGCTCCTCCATTGCTCTGTGTTGTCCATTCCCTCCCTTCCCCCAGTTCTTGATAACTTCCCTTGGTTAGAATGTGGAAAGTCCACAGTATTTCCTCTCCATCTGTAGCTACTCTTTTCTAGTAGACTGGGAACATCCATGGCCATCATCTAGCCTTCTCTGTCAGTGTTACTCCCAGGAAGCCAGAGCTTAATGTCCTTCAGCACTGGAGCCAGGGGCTAGGGTAGGATCTAGCAGCCTTCCATCTGGCATGCCACACTATGATTTTTCAGTCTGAAGTGGAAAGCACCAAGGGGAACCCAGCAGGACCTTGAAGATCCATGCGAACATGTGGACGTGGCCTGAGAAATAGGAAAAAGGACTTCCATTGCTTGTGGGGTTTGGGGTACAGTGGGAGCCATGTCAAGGTTCCAGCACACCTTTCCCTGTTCCTGAGACTGAGTGTACGATGGGCCTTAATCTTACTGTTTGTGTGCATGTGTGCACTCTGCTCAGCACAGCAGGGCGCTGACACTGGGTAGGGCCTCTCTGACTAGTAAAGAGTTCAGACAAAAATAATTTTGGATTATGTATGCAGTGGCTATCCCTCTAACTTCAACCTTCAAACTAATGCAGCCAGCTGATGCAATGCTTAGGAAAGCAGTGTGACCTCCTCTTTTCCATCCCTTTTCTTCCATGGAGATTTCCTTTGGCATTCACTTTTTTTCCTGGCTTGGCCTTCTCCAGCATTCCACTGGTGGCAGAGGTAAGAGCTGCCTCAGCTTTTATTGTGCTAGGCTATAGCCTTGCTCTCTTCTTATCTCTTCCAGCTCGTGCAGCTGTTTAGTCCAGGTTCCGCTTTTCTCTTTGTGCGATATATGCTTATATTACAGCAGCGGAATGAAAAGTAGAAGGATGCAAAGACAGAAGAATAGGGCATAAAGACAGTATGCACAATTCTTTAGCTATTCATACAACAATATGCATATATGTGTCTGTGTATTTGCTCCTCTCACCTTTTCAAGCTCTTCAAATTTCTTTGCCAGCTCCCAGTCTGCAAGAAGGAAGAGAGTAGCATCAGTATCTGCATTGCTTCTCAAAGCTCAAATAAAAAACATGTTCTTCATTTAACCACTTCAATGGTTGACAAGAAAAAACCTAGTTATGACCTCATTCCTGTTAGTGATCTCCAAATCTGTGGTAGCAGAATCAGTGACAAAAAGCAGGCTTTCTCTGCTGAATTCTATGGACTTTGCCCTAATTGTCCATTAATGAGGGAGGCCTCTTTATTGTTCACCAGGCTTTAGGGGAATTGGCCCAACAAGATCACACACTGTATGATACCAACTCAGATGCCGCTTTTTCATTTTTATTCTGGTAACAGCACATGTCTAATGCTGGCTTTCCTGTCACTGGCCTTTTATATGAACTCCCATTGCTTCCTTTAAGACTTGTGTATCCTCACATCACCCATGCAGGCAGAATTCAGAAGACACAGATTTAGCCTATCATAGCTTGTTGCTTTATAAGTCAGCAAACATCAGAGTTGGCAGAGTCAAGCAACAGAAGAGGAACGGCAACAAATGCATAGATTCCATACTTCTAAATGTTAGGGGAGCACAGGGGCCTGGGGACTAGCTTCATAGATTAGATTTAGAGATCTCAAGGCTGAGCGGTACTGTACTAGAATGTCAAAAACATATGAATTAACTGCCCTGAGAGATCACATGCAGGACAAGGAGAGAGTTACGTGCCTATGAACAGTATCTAAAACCTCCAGCTGAATTGGAAAGGGCCTGGACTAGCAGTAGGAAAAGCTGCAGGAAGGGATGAGGGATTTCAATCTCACTCCTCTGGAGGACTGAGGTACCTTATTCCAGACTCAAACTGATGTCAAAACCAGTTATTAAAAACCAAAAAAGATGAAACAATAAAAAGCGCCATGACAAAATAAGCTAAATCAAAACTGAGCAACTGGACGACAGCAGTTCTCCTAGGAGGGAAATGCAAAGCGATCAGCTGTTTTTAAATGTCAGTTTGGGAAAAAATGCACTAAAATAAGCAGAATAGCCAGGAAAGAGCTGAAGAATGTCTCTGCTGTGCCTGACGAAAGCCAAAACCCAGCCCTGGAGCTGCCTCCTTTGTCTGCTCCTAACGTGGCAGCAGGCATTGATCTGCATCTCCAAGGGGATTTAGGATATAATTTCCCCTGATTTCAGATAAGACTTCAGCACACAGACACGTTGCCAGACTTGGGCTTTTTTTTAAAACATTCAAAACTGAGCAGCCAAGAAAGAGCTGACTGCCTTTCCGGTTCCTCCTTCGAGATGGAAACAATTCAGTTGAAAAATCCGGAATATTTTCTGCCCCACATTAATCCAGCAGAAAAGGTAGCAGTTCCTAAGCAAATCCATTGCATCAGAGCTCGATTTAAGAGATGGGCTGGGATTCAGGAGGCGGGGGCTCTGTTCCTGGCACTGTCAGCGATGACCTCAAACAGATTCCTTTTAAGACTGTCTTTATGTATCCATAAGGTAAAGACACCCAGGCCTGCAGATCTACAAGTCAAAAGTGGCACTTAAGAGATTATTATTTTATTATTATTGTTATTATTATTATACACATCTTTACCTCTTTCAGAATTTCAAGTGCATGTTTTGGCTTGACTTTCTGCAGACCGTAAGCTTGGCCAATGACTGCTATGAATAGAAAATGAACAGCGGTTGAAATTTGGAACAGATTATCTCAAGCAGGGGGAAGGAAGTTAATTTATGGATGAAGCCTTGAGAAACTGCCTGCTGTAAATCCTCTGTCTGTGCTCTGCTCAGAGATTCATTAGATTCAATTGTCTGGCATAAAATGCAGCCTTTCCTCTAGGAGCAATAAGTGCAATAATCCATAAACCAATCATAAAAATGTTATTTCTTGAATGCATCCCCTTTGCAAGAAGAATGCCTTGGTTACAGCAAGGATTTGATTTATCTGTGTTTATTTATTTGTCTCAGGGTTGTTTAACCACTGCTTCACTGCACTAACAAGGATCCGGGGAAGAGCACTGGGTGATTTTGACAAATGGATTTTTGTAACAAAATTTTTGCTGGGCCCCATTCTTGGCTGTTTTCACAAGGAAGAGCAGCTTCCTGCTCCAAGACCACCACATACAGCTCAAACCCTCCCCCACCTGTGGTGGCCGTGGGAATAGCTGACCCTTGAAATCCATATGACAGTTGTGATTGCTGTGCGTAGTGTCACAGAAAGCCCAAACTTTTATTCAGTGGGTCTGAGTTTAGCCCCATGCGAGTGGCTTTAAATTTGGTGTCTGTTCACAGGGCACAGACAGGAAAAGCCTCCACATGATCCGTCTTTGGCCTCTGTGCTGTGTGGGAAAAGCCTGTTGTCTCAACCTCCTCCAGCAGTAGCAGAGGCTTAGGCTCAGATAGGAGCTCCCACTACCTCTGTCCCAACCTGCACCTGACCCCAAAGGATCGATCTCACCCATGTGATCTCTGCAATCCTGACTCTGCGCCACCGCCCCATATGCTCACAAGATGCTGCTGGTTTTAGCATGCCAGCAAGCCGCAAAGCACATGAGGCTGTATAGTGTGGCTGAAGAGGTGAGTCCCCACGCTGGCCCGTGCCCCCAGCACACAATGTCTCAGGGATAGCAGGGACACTGGGACTCAGCAGCACCTCTTCTTTCTATTACTTTTGTGCACACACATGCATCCTTGCCAGCTCAGTGTGAAGTGTCTGAGGACCTAGGGTGCATGTTTTGGGGCAGCTTTATGTCACATTGCAAAAGCAGGTCCAAGAGCTCCGTGGTGGAGAACATCTCACATTAATCACATGTAGACACCATACTGGGTGCTTCTGCTTTCTGAGCAGTTGGCATTTCTGAGAAACCTGAGAAACAGGTTCGTTGCATTTATGCAAACACAGATTCAAGAAGTCGAGATCTCCAATCCTCTTTGCTTACCAATATTTTCTGGTCTCCGCCATGCGAGTTTCTTATTAAGAAGCAGAGTCAGCAGTGTTTCCTCATGATTTGTGTCTTCTCTCTCCGGAAGCACTTGATTATCTGCAGCACGTAAAACACACTTTTCTCAGTCTCTAATGATAAAATGGATGGATCTCAGCCTCCAGCATTAAACAAAAAATTAAGTAAGCTAGTAAGTGGAAGAAAAACATCTCCTTTCAGCACCTGTCCACCTGTCCATCAGGGTGGAAAGACCTCTGGGGAAGACGTGTAAGTATAGAACAAAATGTCCAGGCAGTGAGGGCTGCACAGTGAAAGGGTGTGGAACAGGGAAGCCTTCCCTGCCAGCTCCGGGCTGCTGCCCAGTCTCACTGCAGCCTCATCAGCATGGCTGGCTGCAGACAGAGCCATTACCTTGATTTAGACAGTCCAGACCTCTTCTGTAGTGGATACCTCTGCAAAGCCAGACAGGAATCTACGAGATCCTCTCTTCTCAAAACTGCAGGTGTTACTGTGCTCACAGCATGCACCTTCCTAGGGCCAAAAGAGGTGGGAACTCAGCCCTTTTTTTCGAACTTCTTTGGCTTGAAGAGAACCAAAGTGTGGAGGAGTTTAAAGCAAGCCTCTTTATTCCTGAGGAAGCATCTTGCAGTAGCTGTAGACCATGCAGAATCTTTCTGTTTTCCAGGAAAAACCTCTCCAAACTGCTGTCCTAAAGCAATTTGGACTTTTTTATGGGGCCCTTTAGGGGGCTTTCTCAGTGGTTTTGCTTTAGTGGTTGTGGGTATGCCCTCAAATGAATGGTTGGGAAGGTCAAGGGTTTAACAGAAACCAACAGACAGACAGGATAGGACTAATCAGAGCCCTGAAGGCTCTCAGACCCTCCCAGCTCTGCTGAACAGATTTCCAGAATAATCTGAAACTTGAATGTTGCATTCACTTTTGAGAATGACAGAATGGGAGCCACACTTTACAGGGAGAATGGCCATTCCCCAAAATCTTTGGTCTGAACACCCCTGCCCCACACCCAGATCCTACAAAGCCCTAGCATATGCTTAAATTTCCAGCAATGGAAAATACAGAAAGGCTTATTTTCTCTTCTTCCAGGATCTTTAGGACTTCTGCTTACTCCATTTAAGAAGGTGACAAAAGAGCAAATAGTCTCATATGGCCATAGGTGTGATGAGATTGATGCAATTATTTCTGATACACGTGAGACAAAACATTGTACCAGAAGAGCCTTAAGGATGCTCAAGGGTGTATGGGAATCAGCTCCATTACCTAAAATCACATAAATCTGCAGAAGCAGAGGGGCCCTGGCCAAAGTGATGCTCCAAGTATTTGGCCAGACTCAACCCTGCCTCACGCTGCAGCTGAAGCCTCTGGTCCTGATTGTGATCTCTAGAAATAAACCCAAGGGAGCCCGTAGAGCTACATGCTGTGTAAAACTTACGTGGAGTGCTATAAACCTCATTCCTAAGTCGGAAAGACAGTTATTATTTTAAAATAGCTACTTCTAGCCATTTGGGGGATTTGCTACAGAAAAAAAACCACGTATAAACACTCTAGTAAAAACTAAAGAGTAGCAGTATTTAGATAAAGTGACCTCGGTAATGTTTTGGTTGACATTACAAAAATAAATAGGTGATATAAGAGGAAAAATAATTTGAAAAGCAATGTTATTTTCAAGCCTATATTTAGCATCTTTTTTTTTATTTCCACTGCCAAGTCTCTTTAAGAAAGAAGATTAATGATTGACATTTTCCTGCAGAACAAGTTCAAGCTAAGATTAATTTAAATTATGGGAGAACATATAAAAAGAAGTTTTGTGAATAAAAAAAGTTCAGCAGCACCCTACTACTGACATTTATGAGCTGTCAGATCTCATATGGTACATACAGGAATTGCTACTCTGTGATATTTTCATGTTTTTCTTTGGAAATTTTCTTTAGGGAAATTACCAGATTTCACTAGATCTGATATTTTTACTGATTAGCAGAATGTGTCATACGATTAACTGCAGACCAGAAGCACAGCCTTAGCTCATGCTAATATGAACAAGTGTTTTGGTAGCATCCATGTTAATCTTTCAGTATTGCTCAAGGTTCATTTTATTTTCTTTCACACATAAGCGAGTGTTGCATTGGCCATGACAAGCAGCAAAGCAAAGCAAAAATATAACCACCTACCTGTGTCATCTAGTCTGTATTCCAGCTTACCTTGTAGTAAAAAAGGCTCTCCATGTGTAGCTGGGATATACACAGTCATGGTCAAGACGGCTAGAACCCCAAGGAACAGCTGGGCTGACCACATCTTCTCCACCTTCCCACTACCCAAAAGCATTCTTCCTTCAGGCACGGTGGAGGACTTCAGTGCAACCCAGTGCCAGATGAGCTCACTTTTAAGAGGCAGTGGATGTGCTGTGATTGCAAATGGCCTTTGGAGGAGGGGAGAAAAGTATCTCTGGAGACATAATTCAACCTGTCAATATGATTCACTCCTTTGGGAGTGGACAGAACAACCCAGTTATAGATGTCAGATGGAACCTGTTCAATATATCTCATATCAGACTGATCTAATGAATTCTGATGTTCCCACAGGCATGTACTGTGCACAAACATTGATATACATTCCATATGTACATACATTAAAAATATTTTTTGGTGGCTGCTCCTTTAATAGAGTTCAGACACGAAGACTCCCACATTAGCAAGGAAGATTTGTCTTATGTACAGTTGCCGTATGTCACCAATTTGGACGGAATCAGGTTAATGGGTTTTTGCAATTTATCATCTCACTTCCTAGTGCCTATATTAATTAATGTGAGGTATAATGAGTGCTGAAGTGATGGGAAACAGAAAGGGAGAGCTCTTTTCATTTAACTGATTGGAGGATGTTGAGTGTGTCTCACTCACCATGACTTATGGCTTTGTCAACGCGAAAGGCATCACACCCTATTTTGGGATTATGTCTGAGTGGGGGAGTGCAGATTTGGCAGCAAATATGGAATACATCAAGGATGGGCAACTGTCTTCAGTTTTCTCTTGAGGAAAAAAAGAAGTGGAAGGTCAGATGCTGGTTCTGGCTGCACAGCCATATTTTATTAGTTTAGAACAGAGCATTGAGTATTGAGGTACATTGCACATATTCCATGTCTTCTCAGGTCATGACTACGACTTGGTTTGCCTTCTATTTGTTGTCTATCCATCACTATTCATCAGGGACCTGCTACTAGTTTTCTATTACAACCTTACCAAGAAAAATGCTATAATAGTAACAGCGCCAAGCTTTGTTCTTCACTTCTGCTTCTTCTACAGAACTGAATCATCTGTACTTGTCGTGGTCTAACCCCAGCCAGCAACTAAGCACTAAACAGCCACTCACTCCCCCCACGGTGTGATGGGGGAGAGAATCAGACCAATCTCTGATTTGTACATACACTCCTAGTGACTCATTTTGTGTGCCTTTTTGACACCACATTATGCCAGATTACCCAACATAGCTTCCTTTGATGGTACCTGCACTTCATCTTAACTAAAAGACAGTATGATTTCCATATTTGGGCTTTTGGCTTCTGGTCCCAAGCTCTCCCTACAACGTGCTGTGCTATCCCTTTAAATATTTACTTTTTACTAAAAAATGGTGGGGGAGAGGCCCAGATTTTTGCAAGAAGCGCCTATGAAAATGAATGTGATGCTTCCATTAAGCAATAGTTCTCTACTGAGAAAATATTCCAAAATTTTCCCTGCAGTTATAATATAATAATATGTACAAATAAACCAAACTTGTCTTTTCCCTCAATCTTGTGAACCACCTGAAGTACTCCCCTTCTTCACAAAGTTCTGTTTGGACTGAAGGACAGCTTTGTCCTAATGGGAAAACTTTTCCATCTGCCTCTGCCTCCCTAAGATTCCTGTTTCAAATTGGTCACAGGTGAGCAGCCCCCATGAAGCAGAGGCCATAACTTGTTGAACACCACCTTGCACAGGAGTCCAGGATGGACAATAGTAGCTCTGACTCAAAACTGTATTCTTAAGGGAAGGGAAGGACTGTTTTACTTGGTATCAAATGGTTTTCTGGGTCCCTACCAGTCTGTCTTGACATCTGCTGTAAAACTAACTTTGTCTTGATGTAGAAGGTGGGTTTCCCAATCCCATCTAATTTTATGCAGAATCCACAGGCTCTGACTGTTTTTTCATACTCTTGGCTATAAGGCATCATGGGCTATTGCCAGGCTTTTTCAGGAGGATGAGCTATTACCTGGGATTTCCCCTTTTGCTGCAGAAAAACTTCAGTTCTCGGTCACTGCAAATATTAGAGCCCCCAAAGCAAAGTGTGCCAGTCCTTTCAATCAGGGCCTTGGTGAAGATGAGGAACTGCTAGTTTACATTTACATACTAGAAGGGAGATTACTGGATGCTATTGGGGGTGGATGCTCTGATCAGGTGGATGGGTGGGTGGGTAGATGCTTGAGAGCTGATGCCAGACACTAGTGGACTTCCTGCATTTGTTGCAGTTATGATAGTTGATTTGCAGTGTTGGGCTTCTGTGGGACTCACACCTAGAAAATTCCTTCGCTTTTAGCCCATTTGTATGAGTGCTGGAAACACTACTATGTTTTATTAGAATAGCTAGGGTTGGAAAGGACCTTAAG